TAAGAAATAGCTGATGTTCAACTATTCAGTAATTGAATACTTGAATAGTTGAATTCAAGTTTGACATATATAAACGGCTGAATTACATCTATTCTATGGATGTCTGAACGCGTTACAAATCAATGTATACGTTCGAGTGCGATTCTTGATTAAGATGCATCCAAACAGGCTCATATTATCGATGAAATGCGTTTCAATGCGAATAATTTCGTTTTTGCACTCGAATGCGTTTATTCTATTCTCTTGCAGGCGTGGGTATAGGAGTGGGTATGAGTATTCTTGAAAAGACCTACACCCGTATTCATACACACAACAGCATCCACATCACACACCCACACCACACACACCCTTCTTACGAGTTCAAGTTTTCGGAACAATATAGTACGAAAATCTAATGCGTTACAAAGGCATTTACATGTGTACTTTTTACGCCTTTATTTTAATTAAAATTTCAATACATCTTTATGCGCTCTTATCCTTGTTCGTCTGACTGGGACGAAATATGAAAATACATAGAATAATTTAATTTATAATTTAGTAAGTTGTAAGTTAAGTAGAAATAATTTATATATATTTCCAATACAAACCATTGATAATTTAATTACGCACAAATTAAATTGAAAGTAAATATAATTTGACACCCCTAATGTGAAGAAATTCTTCGATTATTCCACATGACACAACATGTCAACGTCCAACTTTAATAGGTTACATGAGGATATCGGTATGAACTATCTTGTTGTAAAGTTATGTAATGTGAAGGAAGAAAAAAATGTGTATAGGTGAGAACATGGTGAAAGACGCGAACACGCATAATGATAAATGTATGAATACAAGAAAAATTGCCTACCTTATCAAGATTTCACACGCCATTGATGCATGCAAGGAGACACATGTTGAAAAAAAACAAGTAATTTTGTTATTGATAAGTACGTAGCACAGTCAGTTGCAAACACGGATAAAATAATATTCAAACGTTTCAATATCATTGGACATGTAAGTATGCTTGAGTCCTAATTTACCTACAAGACGTTCTACGAGATAGTGAAGCAGTTTTCAACACCGCTATATTGTTTAAATAAATCATTCGTCTCATTGATTAGTACATTGAAAATTTTAAATAAATTCTGTTTTCTAGAAAACCGAGTTAGAAAAAAGCTCAAAGATATTCAAATTATTATTAATCCTCAAACGATTTTATAATATCCGAGAGAACAGAAGTTTTGTTTTCATTGCTGCTATTCGCTTGTTATCTTTTAATCTTCGTATTTTATTTTTCTGAATTTATCATCCTTATTATTATAAGCATTGGACTGAATGGCAAATAAAGTTGTTGAAAACATCCATTATTTCATTCTAGTTATTAAGCTCCGTAGTAGGTAGAGGTGAAGAAAAGGCGGCTACGAAAAGTCTAATTTTTGTAAAAATTAGACCTTCGCTAGGAATTCTACATGTTTAATTAAGTGTATAAAAGCTGTTTTCCAATAGTTCTAATATTAGTTCTTGTATGCGATAAAATAAACTTATTTTTAGATCAACAAGACAATGGATCACAGATTTAATTATAAACAGTTGTGTTTTTTGCTTCTTTGTTCCGACTAAATGATGCTTAAAAGAATCTAAATAAAAAATGAAATAAAATAATTTTTAATAAGTAAATAAATACTTTCTTTTCCGGTTTTCAAATTGCACTAAATACAAGAATAAATAATAATAAAAAAATAATATTTTGCATGAATACTTACTTTTCTTTTGGCACTAAGATCGTCATAAATAAAACAATGATATAGTAATAATAATTCATATAATAAACACTTACTGCTTATTGCAATGTTCATAATCATCTAAATTAAAAAGAACGTTATCAAATATATACATATATGTATAGAGAGAGAGGGATAGTTTCACCGCCGGTATACCAGCGTTAGCTCAAGTAAATGTACGACATGGGTGATTTTACGTGAAGTAGCATTGAAAATACTATGTGTGCGCAGAAAAAGACATTACTCCATGTACAGGATTTTGACATATAAAGCATTGATTAAGCGAATTTTCTATAGAATCTAATCAAGTAAAACTTTATTCGCAAACATTTCTAATCACATCATTATATAGAGCTCTGAATTCTAAATAAAATTAGATACATTGTAAATCGTTCAACCTACAAATGGCTGGACTATAGGCTTTACAAGATTTCCATATATTAAATTCTCCATATCAGTTTCTAATAGGGCGTTTATAGTGACTTTTAGTATTATCACTGTCAAATTGCAACAGTAGATCCGACTATGTTATTAATATTTTATCTTCAGAGAATGTTGGGACTTTAATGGAAAGACTATAGAAAATACTCAGCTAGTAGCTTTCATCAAAAGTCACTAGATGGTTAAGTCGTTACTGTTAGGAAATCTTGCTTCTTGTCGCATGATCACTAAGTAAAGGCTTAAGTTATATTTAGATTCTGTCTACACAACATTGAGCTACACTCAAAAATATGGCTGCTGATTCAATAAAAAATGCTATTCGAAAGTTAGAAGAAGCTTTTGTTCCGGATGTCGATTTCTTGTTGGATGATAATATTGGCCATGCATTCGAGACTCTCTGCAATTGCCTGAAAGAAATCATTAGTACGCCTGAATCCTACTCTAGCGATCAGAAGCATCAACTGGTTGCGCAACTGAAACAGTTTCAAATTAATATGTTTCGTGAGCTGCTTCTGTGGTTTTCAACGTCTATTCCAGCATCAGTCCTGAGTAATCTTTTCAACACCATTCTTTATCAAATCCAGATCGAAATGGTAATAAATGAAAGCATTAATGATATCTACTTTGATGCATCACTCAACTGTTTAATCACCGATGTCACCATCGATTATTTATTTGAAGTTCGACAAAGTACTCTTATTGATGAACACTTTCTTCGTATGCTTTGCACTATTGGTTCTTGGGCAATGTGGAACAGATTAAAAAGATCTCATTCAACCAGCGTCAAATGGAAAAATCAACCGACATTTTTTCAATTGAATAATGAAACTGATCGTCTTCTACGAGGAATTCTCACCTATATAAATCGTCATTTTCGGGAGAATCCAATGAGTAATGTTCAGGTTGCGGTTTTTACCTGGGCTCAAAGTATCATGGATGTCATTCCATTTGTGCCATTCTTTGTCAAAACCGGCTATCCAGAAGCAACTCTAGAATGGTTATCCATTGAACCAAATGAGACGATGATCAGCCTTAGATCATGGCGTGAAAGTCTTGATTTTGTTCACAATCTTGCTCGTCACGAATCGGGCGTAAAAGCATTGAATCAATTGGGAGCTATTTCGATTCTCAAAGCATGGAAAGGACGGTACCTTTCCGAATCAACATTATCGAATGACGAAAATTATGAAGATTTACGCGTAGTCTATTATATGAGCTATGCCTTATTACTTGAACCGGCATTACTGAAACGAGAGAACTCAATGGACCTTCAAGTCGCTCTCGATCATATTCTTGATCGAGCAGTTCAAGCATTTCAGTCGACTTCTCTCCATTATGGTCCATATCATGTATCTGAATTTTGGACAGCACTAGCGAGATTTACCGTTAATGACGAGTGCCTCCTATACATGTTGATACGCGAAGATATGTTCGAATTTTCCATGCAGAAGTTTCTCGAATACAATAAACTATTACTGCTTGATATCAATTCCGAATCATCTGATTTGGATACCCTAATGTGTTCGCTATTGTATACAATTTTCTGGTCAATTAGTTTTCAAACGAATTATCATGTAAAATTGAAAACGAACACGGAATTTGTTGGATTCATACAGCAAACTGCTAAGATGAATTCAAATGATGGATATGTCGGGAGTATAAGACAATCTGCCAATGGAATTCTGTTTAATCTTGATTTAATTCAACAATCTCACCTACCTAGTAAACCAGACATCGATGATCATATTGATGGTGTGAAAGTCATGATATCGTATTCACATAAAGATAGTGCATTTTGTCGACGACTAGTCAACACTCTGAAAGATCAAGTACAAGGAGATTTGTGGGTGGATTTCATCAAACTAGAGCCACCGTACGAAGACGATTGGGAAGAAATTGCCGAAGCGATTAGCAATTGTGACGTAGTAGCGATGATTGTTACCGCAGATTATTGCAGCTCGAAAAGTTGTCGTCGAGAGGTGATTCATTCTGATAAACGCAATAAACCAATGATACCTATTTATCAGGGTTCAGAGTACGAACCAGATGATTGGTTTGAAATTCGAGCTGGTTCAGCAACTTGGGTACGTTTCGGTTCTATGAATAGCGATGAAGAAGTAATGCAAACTCTTGTGAAACTAATTAATTCTCACAAAAAAACAAAAAATCGTTCTGATGTAGCTATAGTCTCTCAAAAGCCATATCTTGAAAATAATCACACGGTTCCACCGATTATGATTTTGACTCAAACTAGTGACATCCTCTCGTCGCCATTGCCAGATCCTGTTCCACTACTCCCTCTTCCCACCTCAAATCTCACGACTTCGTCACTAGTAACAACTCCTAGAAAACCAATTGAACAATGGACTAGTGAAGAAGTTCATCAATGGCTCTGTCTACCTCCGTCAATCCTGCAGTTTTCAAGTGGTCGTGCTTTACTTGCTTACGCGCGATTAATACCAGACGAAGATGCAGAACGCGATGAGTATGAACGAAGTCTAAAGAAACGTGGTCTGACACGTGAACAATGGGCAAATCTGATTTGCTCTCTTAAGACTCTCCGCCTACTACACATCATGGAAACGTCATCGAAAGCTCTGCCTGAGCAATGGTCAAGCGACGAAGTGAAGTGTTGGTTTGAACAAAACAAGCTATCTAACTATCTAATAGATACATTCGCCTTCGTCGATGGAATGGAGCTTGTCATTTACGCTAAAATGATGACCACCGCACTCGTGCGTATCGATTCAGAATACGATCGATTGCGAACTCGAATTCAGGCTCGGTACAATGGGCAAGATCTACTTCAATTAGATGAATATGTTCGACTCGTGAGAGCACTCAAAAAGATTGTCGAACAATCACAACTGTAATGTGAACTGAATCTTGATACTAAGTTCTCTCATGTCTTATGAACTTTATTTCGTAAAAGTCTTCATTATGTAACTAAAATACTCTTTCCAACAGTGTCATTGTTCAACGAGCCACTATTTACCCCCCCTTGTTTCCTTAGTGAACTCCTTCAAAGTGCAATTCTCTGCTGTTACACTTGTAGAACTCTAATGGCATTTGCAACTGATTTCTTCTATAAAACTTAACATGTTCTTCGCAAAATTTTCCATTGGAGCATTTCGCACACGTCAGCCAATGAACGAAACGTTTATTTATTTCATCCTCGATAGGACAAGATAATTTTTTTGAACTTCTCCTGTTCATCTCATAAGAGACATAGAAGCTGTACTGGAATGAAATTATCTTAAAGGCTTATTATTAGTCTAGAATCACTGTAGTTTCCGAATTATTTTCATGCTTCACTTTTGTTCCCAGATATTTCAAGTAAACAGCCAGGATCAATGTAACGATATTGAGAGCTCATTCACGTGTGCATGGTAAAAAGTTAGTAAATACGAGAGTGCCATAGTTGATATGAGATGAAGATCTAGTTCTAGATGAGAGTGTGGGCAAAGAAAAACCCATATCCACACCCAAAAGAATTTGCTGCTTCGTTAATCTCTGTCGTTTTCGAGAAGAAACATGTTGAAGATCTCTGTAACAATCCTTTCTTCGTCAATAACTGGTCTTCCTGTCAGAGAATCGCGACTTAAACACAAAGATACTAGTACATGATTCATAATTCCAACAAAAACAGAATAAAAGAGAACCGTACTGACAATTTCAGACAAGTAAACGTCTCATCATAACTAATACGAGTGTGGTTGTGGGGTAAGTGTTCGGTATGAGTGTGGGTGTGGGGGAATACGGGTTTGAATGTTCCGAAACAAAACCATATCCATACCCACATCCACATCTACACCCGTTATAGAGTGTCAAGCATCATCGTGTCTTCCCTCTATGATATTGCTCCGAATAAAATGTACAAATCAAGCACTCTTAATAGTATATTTTACTTTGGAACTTTTTTTTTCATGCTTACTAAGGAAGATAGCGAACTGATAAATCGCTTTTAAGTCGAAACTTATGTGCATCGTGTAGGTCGTAGTAAAATATGAATATTCTGAAAAGAGTTCGTGTCAACAGCTTATTGTTGGCGAGATACTGCATTTTTACGGTAATTTTTTATCATGAAGCCATGGTCTCTTCAAAAACATCAGAAATACTGAGTTTCGAATTTCCACTTGAAACTTTCTACAGAGACAGGCCTCGGTGAGAATAGTTTATTGTGAAAGTTTCAGATCTTTTGACTGTTCCTAGTCTTAAATAAGAGGACCGAAATCCGCTGGTGTATATGAGTCATGTAAAAGCATGCTGTGCCGTAGCTATACCTTAGTATAGGAAAAAAAAGTAGGAACGAATTAATATGCGATGTGTGTACGAAATATTTTGTTTCTGTCTTTTAGTCGAGAATAAAATGAGTCACATGGCGTCGCTATCGAAATATCTCAAAGAGAAAAAGAAAACACAACGATAAAAGAAAGTAAATTGTACTACAGAAAACAAAGATCACAAGCGTTATATACGAGAATTAACTATTTTGTAATGCCAAAATCGTTGAAAATTTGAAATGGACAAATTATTAATTGAAACTCGATTTCGTTGAGTCAATTTTGCAAGAAATGTATTTAATACAAATATTATTATTTTATATTCTGTTACAAAAAACAAAGCAATACCTTCTTTTTTTTCCTATCAACGACACTTCACCTTTCTTGCAAAATACGAAAAAACATAAGAGAAACCACGTTTTTTTTCTCACATACCATAACATTAATGTTGTACTTTGTTTTAATAAACGGCAAGAGACCGTAAGAGTATATTCTTGATTTTCGAATAATGTTGCCAAGTACAGCCACAAGATCTGATTTGAATTTTTCAGATGTCATCTTCTACATTACGTATAAGCAATCTCGAAGAATTACCTGATGAAATACTTTTATTAATCTGTGGATATTTATCATCCACTGATATTCTCTTCTCTTTCTATGGTCTCAATTTTCGACTTTCTCAAACAATCAGTGATTTTTGTCGATATGTTGTTCTGGGACAAGTTTCATTTAAGCAATTCAATTATATTTGCAAAGCAATTCTACCGGCTATTGGTACTAATATTTGCTCATTAGTTGTGAGTAATGACTGGAAAGGCGTTCTCTCACAAATATTTCTTAACTACTTCAGTGAAAAAATGTCTTTGGCATTTCCACGTCTAAAGCGTTTGATCCTCACTACATTTCGTATTGGTTCGTTAATGTCGTTTCTTGATTGTCTTCAAAATTTGCCTGAATTATTTGAACTCAAGTTAATTAGTTTGTATGAGATGGGCAAGGAGTCAGCTAACGTGGAAGTATTACTGCACCGAATTTTTACTGCAAATAATAATCGGTTAAGCTCGATTTTCTTCGACGATGATTCATTATCTTTTCCATATGTAAGTAACAATGATATATGTTATTCACACATTGAAAAGTTAACTATTGAATTAAAAACTCTAAATGATCTTTATGAACTTCTTACAGTATTGCCTCGACTAAAATACCTTGATGCGGCTATCAATGATGGATCCTCTAAGTTTCCTGAAGAAATACAAAATATTCCAATCCTTACTTTAAGACAATTTCGTTTACGTTCATTTGTTCATAACTGGAATCTTGATGAACTTGCATTGTTTTTAAAACGTATTCCTAATGTTCAGGAGCTCATGATTCAGATTAAAACTGACTATGACACTCGTCTGATCGATGGTCAACAAATATTTTTTCATATATCATCCTTATCTCTGACAAAGTTTAGTTATTTTCTTGAATTTGACTATTCACATTCTTTTGATGATACAAATATTCTTTCTAGTTGGCAACAATTTAATCAAGAATTTATTTGTATTAAAAGTGATGATAATAATACTCTAGTTCTAATTACATTACCTTTCGAGTGTTCTTATTTATTTCTTCGATGTTCAATAGCTAAAAACAAAATCTTTAGCGATATTTATGGTTCTCAAGTTAGATATTTAACTTTATGTGACGTTTCAACACAATTAGCTGAAACATTCTCCATCACGAACAAGTGTCATCGGATACACACTTTCGTTCTAAGAGTTGATGAAACGATTGTCCCAAGTAAGATTTAATGTTTTCTATCAATTAATATAGATTCATATTGTATATAGAATCTGTTCAACAAATTCAACTTTGTGAATTGCCTTATCTTAAATGTTTTGTGGCACTGGAAAAACCTTCAGTCAATGCAGATGATTTTAGAAAACTATTTGAAGTATCACCTAATTTATATCATTTAGCAGTCAATTACGAATTTATTGAACCGATGTTTGACAATAAATCTGTGTGTTATTTTCTAGAACATCGTATTACTCATTTACTGATCAGTGTAACTTCGATTATAAGTCTTGAGCCGGTTACTGTTTCAATATCTCGCCTTGCATCTGTGTTTCCATCATTGAAACATTTATATTTTTACATAGAAATATATAATCAATCTGTGGAATCATTAATTTTATCTATTTTTAATCATTTAAGTAAATGGAATTTTCTAGTATCATTTGGTGTAGCAAATATAACAATGGATTCCAAAATACTGGCAAAAGGTATTCGTGAATGGGTACTTGAAAATTCATTTTTGAATGATAACGACTCATTTCTTACTGATTACAGTGCAGAGACATTTCGTGTTTGGCTTTAAATTGTATTTATTTTCTTTTTCAATTCCAATAAAAATGAAACAGTTATCTAAGTAACATATATTAAATTCGTTCATGTCTAATCGTCTATTGATTATTTTACTTCAACTATTTTTATTTCTTAAGGTAATCAGAATGAAATGGCTGGTACACTTCACCTTCGATTTTTTTAAAATTTGTTGAATTATTTAATTTTAATAATTCGTTTTTTATAGAGAATACCTTCGAGAAGTCATATCATTACTTTTCAATGAATCAAAGACTTCATCTGATTCCATTCACTTAAAATCAAGAGAGGAAGAAACAATATTTACAGATTCATTAAAATAAAATGTCAACAAATATAATCAATGCAGTTGAAACCAAGTGATTATGAAGAATATCTAGGTGAACATCGACAAAAATCGAAAATGATCTGTGACGTCATTCACTTGAATTGCCGAATGATAATATTGATTTTATTTGTATTGATTGACAATATCGTACTATTATTTCAATTATGCCAGAAAAAGAGTTCGAAGACTTTTTTTTAAATAAACAATTAAATGTTCGTCAATAGCAAATGCAAGCTTTAAAATAAATATCAAAATAAGATTATGAAATTGATTTAATTGATCAAGAAAGAGGATAATCATTTATTTTTCTTAAAAAATAAATAAACAATTGATGTATCGTGAGGATAGTCTCAGAAAATCCGCTATTAATTATTTAACAATCAATATGATGAAAAGTAGTTGGACTTTAGCTAAAGATGATTTAGATAAAATAGAACCAGATACATTAATACCGCATTTAAGTAAGATTATTTAATATCTTGTGACTTTAATTGACTAGTTTGTGTTAGTTGAACGTATTCTAATTGAAAGTGTTGATAAAAAAATGAATTATTAGGTGGAAAAAATCGTTATTCAAAATTGTTGATTCATATGCGAACAGCAGTTGACGATTCAACATTAAGTATATCCGCGATTCTTCCTATATCATGTCTATCACCTGATATTTATCTTATTATTTGAGTAACAAAATTAAAAAGAAAAAGAAATAATCTGCATTTTATTTGAAACAATTTAGGTTGGAAAAATTTCATAACAAGGTTATTTATCTGATTATGCTGAACTATATATCAAACAAGATATTCATGTAAACAAATGTCTTTTAAATCTTTTAGGAATGAAATTTCAAAAGAAAAAACTATTTTGGTAGTTACAAAATGCTTTTTTTTGGAAAAAAAGGGGCCTACTTTTAATTTAATTATGTTTATGAAACACATTGGGACGAGCCAAAAATGAAGTCTGGGTGTTAGATGCCTGTGGGTTTTTCCAGACCTGGCTTCGACTGAGTTCGAATTTTTCTGTTTTTGGTCGAATCCGGATACTAAACACGTTGACTCACAGGTCTCTACCGGACGCCTATTACGACTTTCTGTGCGTTTTCGCACTTTTCAATTTATTTAGTTTTGAACAACATTTTCATAACAGCAGCTTGTCAGAATTTTATAATACATCACGCGTCTGAAGAAATAGTTTATATAAAAGATGTATCAGTTGTCTAGATAGAAATATGAAAAAAAAACTGTTGAGTCTGGCAACATCTTAGATAATTTTATTCTTATTGAATTTCGATCACTTGGCGGTGTCGGCATCTAGTAAAACGGATTCTAACAACATCTGAGAGGAACAACTTGTTATTCTTAGGACCTAATAGGAGAGAGTTCAAGATGAGTATGTAGTTCATTTCTTCTTTAAATAGCATTAGTTAATTAACTCTTGTTTAATGGAAAAAAGAACCATGTATTAAAAAATAGGCCCTTTCGAAGAAATTATTGAAAACTGGACATCCGAGAAAGGTCGAAAGAAGTGGTCTTTTATGGAAAGTCTTTTATGCATGATTCCATTCCCAATTGATAAAAATCTGAGTTTTAGAAAACGAACTCTTCTCTCAAACGAATATTCGAGAATAGTTCGTGTAACCAAATTATATTAAATTCTCTTTCCAGAATCAACAACGATATCATGAACAAGCTATACATATGCCATTTACTTGGACAGCAATTAGATTACATGATATTTTCCAAGAAATTGTACATGAAACAATTATATCAAACCATTGTAATACATCATTTGCTAATACAGAATTAATTAATTCATCTGTTAAAGCTTCGAGTGTTAGCATGATTTAAATTATTTAAGGTGAATAATTTATTTAAATTTTTTAAGAACAAAAAAGTCATGAATCATGTGTTTTTTGTAATACTTATGGAAATTTTCATCGTTCACGTGATGAAAGTTCAACAAGAAATATTTCAAGAAGAAATGAAGATCGACAAATTTCAACATCATTACCGACAGCAACTGTATCATCAACAAATACAAGTATTTTGACTATATCTGAAGAATTTTTTTAACATGTTAGTGAATTTTGATCGATAAATCGTTGTTTTTTGACAGATGAAATCACTTTCAAATTACGCATATGAAGGACAATTTCAATACAATTCTTCTTTGACCAAGTTTATATAAAGTAGAACGTTAGGCTATTTTTTGAAAGCATTTGACCATACCATAATTTTTTGTGGATACTTAACCATTGATTAATGTCCTTATATACATCGAGTCACAGCATAAACACGTTCATTTTGACTATTAAATCTAAATGGTAGCAAATACGAAAAACCAATCATTCGTTATTTGCTTAAAAGTCTTAGTTGAATAATTTTAATGCTTAGCATCATGATAAAAAGGATGAACGATTAGAAAACTTTTTTTATATGTATCATTAACTTCGCAAGCAAGGTTATTCTTTTCATCGTCATCATTCTCATTATCAAACAAATGATAAAAATTTTAAACAATCAATTATGGATACTGTTTGAGCACAAGCTAAAAACTTTGTTCAAATTCTTTTTTTTTGTTCTTGATACACTTCTTTCATTATTGGTTCTATCACCCATCGTCAATGGACATATAGATATTTATTTTATTCAATAAATATGTTTGAACAAGTTTTATTTAGTAAATGCTAATGCAGACATGTTTTGAAACACTAACAAAAATAGTTCAACGTATTCAACGCGATCTTCTTGCTGATCTTAATGATACACATAGAAGAAATCGTTTAATTTTAACCTATATTCATTATAAATGAACATTACATACATTGACTGAGACTGATTGTTTTAAATAATTTTTTTTTAATTTTAATTTTTTAATTAAATACATATAGATACGAGAAATGTTTCATCAAAATTAGCTAGTGTTCGTTCAAGTTTACTTTATTTTCAACTCTATGCTGCAAGAAGTCCATCATTATCAGTGGTAGATGAAATGGCACTTGCGACCAATAGTAATCTTATGTCAACAAGTTTATTTCCATTTTACCATATATTTTCTTGAGGGTGGGATGTGGGTGTCATTCCTCTCTTTACTCACATTCTCATCCCCACCCTAAAAATAAAATGAAATTTTCAATTCTATAATTAAGGACAAATATCCGTTTATTATATAGATCGAAATGACACAGCAAGCAAATAGTCTGAAAAATTTTCTCTTGATATTATTACAAGTATTGGTTTGGCAAGTTGTAAAGTACTCAATGATCGAACATATATGGTAAAATAAGTTTGTAAATAAAGAAAATTTTTTTTATGTATTAAAAGAAATTTTTAAATAGATTTGTGTCGATATTACAACAAGTTCGTTTAGTTTAATAAAACTTGTTAGACTTTCACCAGCAATAGTTATTATCAATAAATCAAATGTATGGTGAAAAAAAAATTCTTGTTATATTGTTGCTGTTTTTTTCTTCGCTTTATAAACATTGAAGTTGAAATAATAGAAATTGTATCTAATGAAGAACAAGGTAAATGGGAAACGATTACTTCTGAACAAGTAAATAAGTCTATTTTTAAAGTTCGATTTAATAAAGAAAAAAAAATAATATCAATTAATTTCGTTTTGGCTACATAATATGAAAGATAGTTCAAATGTGTGTTCGTTATGCACATAATCAAAGAACGTCAATTTCATTCAAAATGAATGAAAAACATCAAACACTGTTACGTATGAATAATAAAAACCGTCCAGCGATTTATGTTGAAATAACAGCAACGGATTTTGATGATGTCAAAGTTATTTTTTTCGAGATTATAAAATTAGTGATGCATCTTTACTTATTGTAAATTGTTTAGAAAACGATTCTATTGCATTTTGTCAAGATAATGATGTGTAAGTCGTAAATAAATAAAAAGAAAAAAGAATCGTATACTTCTTCTACAAACATTCCTAATTTTTCCTAACGATGTTTTCCTTACAAAGGTGCTATAAAAACAGATTATATATAGTACAAAGAAAAAACTTCTATCAATCAATGAAAGAACTATCATTCTAACAGAAGATATATGAGAATTAACATTTTATTTTCTATTATTCTTCATTTAACAAAGCTAAACTGACGGAAAAAAGTTCAACTGAACACTTATTGGTTCGACCCATGGTTCAACAATACGAAGTTTTTCAATTTTTGCACAATTATCTTTTGTTTGTTGATTATTGTTAGCGATGATAAGTAACAGTGCATTATTAGGAATCACGAGTTCGATCAGATGTGGAAGATGACTTCGATAGAGAAGTTGTTCAGCATAGTCCACATGTATATCACGTAAAATAAGTGCAGCTAAATGAGGAAATACAATAAATTTTGTTGCAGTACTTTTCGTCTCTTCTTGTTCAAGTTGATTAAATACATCTAACGTTTTAAGACGAGGAAGAGCTTGAGCTACATGTTCAAAAAAATTATGTTCAAAAGATTTAATATCATCGAAGAGTAATAATCTGGTGACATTTGAAGACGTGTTTTTAACATCAAAGAGAGAAAATCTAGACGAGTACGAATAAATGGGAGTGAAAAGACTTGACATTGTCTATAATGATTATTAAAATAATCGAGTGTACAATCGACGAATTGTTGTACGCGTTGTTCGAGAAAAATTTGACGGACTATATCGATGTCTATTTGAGAAGAGTTTTATAATATTGAACGAATATGAAAATTAAATTTATGTAGATTAGGCATATGTGAAATAACATTTCGTTGTAAATCAAATCCATCAATAAAATGATCCAATCCAGATCTACTTGCACCAACAGCCAATAATAATGTCAAATGTTCGACAGTTGCTAAACGGGAAAAAAGTAGAATAAATCGATCATAATGTAGAATACTGCGATAACATGTTATTGTTAATTGCTTTAAATTTGGACAGGTTGTCTGAATGAAATAAATCAGTTCAAATTTCAGATTACAAATAATTACTTACCGATGTTATATCCGATATATTGTGATCATCGCTTCGAGAAACATGTCCTACCGTCACAAACAACGAGTGCAATTGTTTCCCTAATTGATTGAGTAGCTGAACACAATCTTCGAATCGATGATGTGTGATACGAATGTGAGTAAGATGAGGAGATTCAGAAAATAATAGTCCTTCTTTAGCTGGAAATATTCGAAAAACGCAGTTATCATTCAACTCGAGTGAGACGATTGTACGTATAAGTGATGAACAATTAATGAATCTCGACACAGGACTAAAAAATTCGTCGTCAAGATCCAAAAATTCTGGAACGAAGGAGAACAGCGGCGAATGTCGCACCGGACTGTCATAATAAAAGTCTAAATATATGTAAAAATGAAAGTATAGCGCTTCTATAAAACTCTACATATGTATTATTTCTTGAAAGTTTCGAGTTAAAATACCTTACGCTTATAATCAAACAGACAATCAATCATGTTTCCACATCGCATTCAAATGTACATAACTATCGTACACTAATTGTTAACAGAATGAAATTATAATTAGACTAAAATTTCAACATATATTTTTCTCATCATATCCAGTCAACAAAACCTTATTGCTTTTATAATCTATTTCTGTAATGATTCAATACTCGTGACTGAAATTCTTTTTTTTTATTTCCAGACTTAATCTTTTTTTGTTGTTTTATGTAGAGAAGATGGTCCTATTTTGGGTTTCTTTCAAATGAAGACGATATTTTTACAGTCTGATTTTTTAATTTCTACTATCTGATGAGCAAATAAATCAAATCAATTTAAATAAGCAGTTTTTAATAAAATAAGAATTTACTTATTTCGAACAGTTATCCTGAGTTGCGATGGAAACGACATAAGATTATTTTCAAATGTGTTAAACTAAATATGATTTCATTACTGTGTCTTCTGAGAATTGTATCAAAGTGTAATAAATGTATCAAATTGAGTCAAAGACATTGAATATTATTGGAAATACAGGGCAGAATATAGAAGTAAAATCGTTTGACATGCCATTTATATGGTGTATGCCAATAATTAGAAGTTAGATTGATTGAATGACATTTTCATAGTGCAAGTTGTTCTAAACGATTATTTTCAATATCAATCATAGAACAAAGTAATAAAACTTGAGGTTTCACTTTGTTGAAAAGAGCTAAGATCATTTCGTTAGATAAATCAAATAGTTCAGTCATATCTTCTATGAAAAGAGATAAATAACAGGTGATATTGCTAAATAGCTACATACTTGTCCTTGATAAACAATTCGTCATTTATGTAATACGTTCGTTCAAATAGTGGATAGATGTGTTCATATGTCTCTCTTCCCATATACATATATATGTCGCGCCGAAGTTATAACTTCAGCGGTAAATTTTGTGGAGTATTTCAGATCAACTAAATACTAAATAATTATCTAATAATTGATGATATCATCATAAAAATGTATATTTATAGTTAATTTTACATGTTCACAACGCACGTATGATTTTATTAAAAATAAGTAAACTATTTAAAAATTATTCAAAGAGATGAAAAATTACACTTGATCGATATTTACATATTTATTGCTCAATCTACATCACATTAAGTTCAATATTTGATGAAAGATTTTTGAAGCACTATGGCTTAGATTTAAATCACAATTGGACTTTAACTTCATAGGAAAAAAGTTCATCAACAATAAATTAAAGGTTTTAAGATCATGGCTTACCTCAAGTCGAACACAGACATCTTTCGTAGTATATAATATCTTTTAGCAGTATAAGTAACAGCCATGACAAAGAAGAGCCATCCTACACCCTCGTTTCGTTTTTTCTTTAGTTTTGTCTTGACTTTCACCTTTGAACAAGCACTTACCTTATCTTCATCCTCAGTCTTAATATTTCATATTAAAATAAACACTGAAATCCATAGTAACGTTTCAGAAGATTTCGAAAAATATATTGTAACAACTGCCGACATTTTATACATAAATTTCCTGTAAATCGATGCCTTAGTGCTTCAGAAATCTTGCATCAAGTACTGAACTTAACGTGGTGTGGATTGAACAATAAATATCCCAGGCCGAAAAAGCACGATCGTAAACGTTTGTAAACAACGAAATACGTCTAGAAACGGTCATCATATACGATGGTCGTATACGATGCCATACGTTCAAATACGATCAACGTATTCGTTGAAAATAAATGGTTGTCGTCCACAGTGTAGTATACGACCGTATATGGTCGTAACTTAGTCGTAAGTTCCCAGGTCGAGAAATCAGATAGTAGGATGTGGGTGTAGGTGTGCATGTGAGTGTGACTGATGGCTTTCTTTACGCCCACATCGTATAAGAGCTTTTAGATTTGGTTTTCCGGTCATTTTAATTTCAAAACTTTGAAAACAATCACAGAAAATCTTCTCGTACTGTTATAAGATGAAACCGACCTGGATAGTCGTTACCGTCGGTATACCTCAATAAACCAGCGGTTTCTACAGAAAAATGACGACATGGGTTCCCTACCGTTGTCTTTAACCTTTTGGAACAATATTAAGACCAATCAAAAGCATTTGCCTTACACATGAAATGACAGATTCTGATTTGCACCAGGGATCCGAAACTCGCTTCGTCGCGAGACGAGGCGAGTACGTGGCCGTACGAAAGTTGGCGAGTTCCTCGCCTGCTTATTATACAGTTTTTGCTACATAGATATTATAATAGATTCGAAAAAAATACAAAAATAGATAGTGAGATCAAATAACATGACTATCATGTAAATGGATCTAGCAGGAAGAGAAAAATAGATGATAATTCAGTAAATAATTTGGTATATAGTTCCCATAAAACACATAAACTTTATCAAAAATTCGAGAGGTTTTTTCAAGCTTCTAGTGAATACGTACACCCTCGTTAGCAAACAATAACAAGAACACAAAATATAGAGAACAATTACATACATTTATATCCAACTGAATAGTTTAACACGATAATGTTTTGAGTAAAGAAAGAATATATAAAAAATTTATTTGGATCTATAGTTATGTAATAGTTGTGTATATATTGTGAGTGTGGAATGTGAATGTG